GACCAGGCAATAAGTCCAGCAGCTATCTCAATCAATCGTCAGCTATGGAAAGATCGGGTTCCAAATGCCGGATCCCTTGTGAATCAAGTCACGAAAAGTTCAAGAATCGGCAACAGGCCATGGGCCTATTTCTTCAACGCCGACACTTGTATTCTAGAACTTGCATTACTATAACTTAGTAGTTATTTCTTTGTCATGATAAATCACCTTTACAATTTACACTAAACAATTTTATTAATTAAATTCCTGAAATCATAAAATGCAGTGTCGAACCTTTGAACGATGAATTTATTATGCCGTGCTATCCCTAACTCAGTCCCGTGCAGCGAAGGCAAGTTCAAGTGCGCCAACCATCGCTGCATCAACGCGGGCTACAGGTGCGACGGCGACGACGACTGCCGTGATGGCAGCGATGAACTTGAGTGTAACCTTTGTGAGTCATGCATTACGGATTTCATCTCATCCCCGTAAATTTTTCCCCTATATTAATTTCAAACCCCAGAATCAAGTAAAGAATTTGAAGAAAGCGTTTAACATAACCTATGTGCTTAGGGTAGTGTAGTTTCGATTGAAGGTAGATACTTTACATTACTTCAATCCTCACCCATACTCATACAAGCTATGATGGCTTCCTCATCTCTTTTAGACTTTGAACATCTTCTAGACCCTTTAGACCTTTCACTAGCCACCCTCTGGCTGCCACCTATTTTTAAGTAGGACCTACGCCACCAGAACCAAAAATTTATTATTTTCTTTTGCAGTCCGCAAAATTTTAATGAAAAGATCTAGATACAACTAATTTTTTCTATCACTCCAATATGCACCATGACCCGTTTCTTGTTAGAAAAAAAGTATACTAAATATTATGGAGATTTTATTTAACTTTTTCATTTTTCATCTCACAATGTTTGAATGAGTCATCTCGAGATTCTGATTTTATCCTTGTGGCATATTTTGTGGCTTACTGCCTCGTTGTTTGTGAGTGAGAAAGAAAGTTTGCACTAAAATTTTCCGAACGACAGCTTTTTGTGCAAATTACCACTCAAATATTTTTAAAACCTCAAACACACTCATTTTTACTGTAAATTAGGTCTAGGAATTAATCAATTCAAGGTTTTGATATTTGCAAGAAGAATTGCTCTAGAATTCAATGTGAAACTTGTGAAATAATTCATCGAAAAGGCAGTACACGGGTACAGAAAGTGGCGCAAGATATGTTGCTCATTTCTGTGGGGCAAGCAAGAGACGGATTTGTTGATGATATTGAAACAAGGGATTATTTCTTTCCAATTTTATCACATGGTGCATTATATTTAGTTTCAATGAAAAAAAAATAACTGAAAAATTCTATATTTAAAGTACCATGATTTGCTGGTTATGGCAAATGAAAATGACAGATATATGCTTATTTAAAATAAAAAAATTATTAAAAAATATTGACGTAGTATTATTATTGAAAGTTCGCATCGAGAATTCAAACGATTTTTTTGCGAGTATATCTCGTGAAGGAAATATTTTTTAATATAATTTTAGAACATATAAAAACCGACAATAACATGGATTGTTATGAAAATTTATACACGACTCTAAAGGTAGATTAAAACTTTTAATTACATCAACTGAATAGTTATTTTTATAAGTCACGCACTGTTAATCATCCTAGAATTTACTTTAAAAACTTTTCTAATTTGATTCCTAAAGTTATTAAGTGCAGTATGGATCCCCTTAAAGATGAATTTATGATGCCGTGCTATCCCTGACTCAGTCCCGTGCGGCGGATTCAAGTTCAAGTGCGCCAACTATCGCTGCATCAACGCGCGCTACAGGTGCGACGGCGACGACGACTGTCGTGATGGCAGCGATGAACTTGACTGCAACCTTCGTGAGTCATGCATTACGGGTTTTATCTCGTCCCCGTAAACTTTTCCCGTATAGCCCCAAAATCAATTGAAATTTTTTTAAGAAAACATGTTTAATTTAATCGATGTGCTTAGGGTAGTGTATTTTCGTATTGAACTGTAGATGATACTTTTTTAGATACTTTACATTACTTCAATCCTCATCCTTACTCATACTAGCCCTGATTGCTTCCTCATCTCTTTTAAGCTCTAAAAGTTTTCTACACCTCTTTAGACCTTTTACCAGCCATCCTCTAGCTGCCACATATTTTTAAGGAGGACAGAGGCCACCAGAATCAAAATTTCATTATTTACTTTTCGTTTTTTTTTAAATTTCAAGGACATTATGTACATACAACTAATTTTTTATATCACTGCAATATCTTTTATGGCCCGTTTCTTGTTGGGAAAAATTGTACAAAAAATATAATGGAGATTTCATACATTTTTTTTTCATTTAGCAATGTGCGAAAAGGTTATCTCGAGATTCTGATTTTATACAGGTGGGGTAGTTTTGTAGCTTACTGCCTCGCTGTGAGAGTGAAAGTTGGTACTAAAATTTTCTGATCGACAAATTTTAATGCAAATTACTACTCAAATTATTTAAAAACTATGTACACATTCACTTTTACAGTAAATTTAGAATAGAAAATGCATTAATTCGAGGTTTCGATATATGTAAACTGAATTGTTTTGGAATTTGATATGAAAATTGTAGTGAAATAATTCATCGTAAAGGCAGTACACGGGTTTAGAGAGACATGACTTCTGTATTTCCTTCAGCTGGCAGTGCTTGCATGATAACTCAGTTTGAGTGCAAGAATGGCAACTGTATCAAAGCTAGCTTCGTCTGTGACGGCGATAACGACTGCAACGATATGAGTGACGAGGAAAACTGTCCCGAAAGTGAGTAACAGTGCATTACGATATTAGAGCAAATTTCTTCAGGGTCAATACTGACTCTCTTCACAATTGGCGGAACATATAGAATTATTTGCATTAATTTCTTTAAAAGTTTGCATTGTTTCTGTTTATGGTGGCATGGAGAGTACGAGTACGTATAGTGCTAAGATTGTTCTGGAAAAATGGAATTTACTGATATTTACGAATATTATGTGAAAAAACTCGTAAGACATCGCATCATATTGCGAAAAACAATTTTGAGCAAGTATAATTTATTATGACAGTATTTTCTGGTATTGGATAAAAATCTAGATCCCGAGGCATTTATGTTAGAAGCAAGCTATACGCATTCTAATTTGGATCATAAAATGCTTGTAAATGTAAGCCTTGTATTTTTTCTTTTACTGGAAGAGAATCTTCCTTTGAGGTAAATAATAAACATTGAGTACAATTTGAACTACTTATGTATCTTAACTAATGTATCTGTGTAAGTTTTGATAGAAATTTTCAAGCGCTAAAGTACTGTCAACATACAAATTAAATTGAAAATAAATTCAAATAATAAAGGCCAACGTGCATTAAAAATCAAATCTTCGACAACGCATGTTTTAGGTGGGTTGACTGGTGCGGAATACCAACTAAATTTGGAGACGTTTCAGCTGATGATTCATTTCATTTGAATCAGAGCGGCTCTAAACTTTATTTGGGATGAAAGGAATCATGATTCGAGTCTAATTTCAAGAAAAAATTACGTTAAACTCAATTCACACTTAAACTCTTTCAAACTCTCTAACGATTCAAACTCACTCAAATTACGAGTTGGGGAAATTTAAGTGCGCATTGATGACTTCTTCTAAAGGTTAAGATATTTTCATGCTATCAATTTATAATAAACTTTGACTAATCCACATGCTTCCTTGCAGGTTGAGGCGTCCGGTCCAGGTTCTCCAGCTCTCATCCGGTGATACTGTTTGGCTGACGCACATTTGACAACGACCAACATGCAATACAAATAAACATACTCCTACATACCACTACACATGCTTCCATATAGTGATATCATAAAACTTTCATCACTTTATTGTTATCAGCTTCAAGTTACTTGTTTATAATTTCACCTAAACTTTCCAACCATCATCAAGAAGTTGGAAGGTTTTTGAGTTCAAAATAAGCTCATTTTAGCTGCCGGTGCAGCTAATGGCTGTCATTGATTCTGATTGGTCCTCGAATCTTGAAAGGATCTCAGAGCAAAGCTGATTGAATTCAGATCTACTGTTTCATCGGCAGTTACTGTAATGTATCAAATCATTGCATGTATTCAGCTTTGTCCGTTAAATTATTAGCTGCATTCTTACATTTTTTCAGTGAAATTTCAAGATCTAAATAAATTAGGTACTCGTATAGTAAGTATTAGCTAACACTCGTAATCTGCAGAAGACAACAGAAAAATTTTTGTATGCAAATAATTATTCATTCAATTGAATTTCTGTCTGGTATATATTAATACATCTTCATTTTTTAGCAAGTAAGCACACACTTTCGATATTTTGCTTCCATACAGACGAATTCGCTTTGTTTGTGAGATTTTTAACCTATCTTCGTACTGAATACTACCTATACAGGGTGTCCAAAAAAAAAACGATAAAACGATACTCAACTTTGAATGACTGTAACTCGAAAAGTAATAGAGTTAAAAAATTTTGAAAGATTAGGATTTGTTCCCTATGCTTTTCTCCATCTCTCCACCAAAAATCAGACAGATCGGTGTAGCCATAAGCGTTTGATAGAACTTTCAGTGACATGTGCTATAATCGTGCTTGCGCAAAGTTTTAGTAAGATCATTTTGCAGAAATCATTACATTGTCTTGACATGTTTTCTTTTCGCTGTTTTTTGTATCTTTGGTGAGACAGAAACATGGCAATCTTTGTTGAGAGGCAAGCATGACAATCTTTGGTCAGAGACAATCATGACAATCAGTCTCACCAAAGATTGTCATGATTGTCTCTCACCAAAGATTGTCATGATTGCCTCTCACCAAAGATTGTCATGATTGTGTCTCACCAAAGATTGCCATGATTGTGTCTCACCAAAGATACAAAAAATGAAATAGCGAAAAGAAAACATGTCAAGACAACGTAATGATTATGCAAAATGATCTTGCTAAAACTTTGCGCAAGCACGATTTTAGCACATGTCACTGAAAGTTCTGTCAAACGCTTATGGCTACATCGATCTGTCTGAGTTTTGGCGGAGAGATGGAGAAAAACATAGGAAACAAATCCTGACATTCCAAATTTTTTTAACTCTATTACTTTTCGAGTTACAGCTATTCAAAGTTGAGTATCGTTTTTTTGGGACACCCTGTATATCAGCTTAACAGATAAAAAATATCATTCTTGGTTTCTGATTCTGACAAATAGTGGGGGACAATCATTTTTGGACTGCTTTTAAATGTTCATTTGTGGATATTTTCATTACACCAAAAAGCTTTGCAGACTAATAACAAATCCTATTAAGAATTGAGATAATTGCGAATGAGGAATGAAAAAATGAGATGACATAATTGCCTCCCATAGCGTACAACATATTGCAGTTGACAAAATAACCTCGCAGTAGGAATACGTATAACGAACGTACAGAAGAAACTTTGGCGTTACGTGGGTAGAAGTGCAAAGGATCGACCGCTTTTGTCATGGATATGTGTAGAACCGATCGTTTTTATCATAAAAGTGAAGGCAGTGGAAAATGCAAGTTGATTGAAGACCGGAGCATGCTTTTTATTACTAATCTTCTTATTCGTTTTTTCAATGAGTCGAACAAAATTTCTTGCTGGCGCCGGGAGATCAAAATGCAGGTTACCAAATGACATTTTAATGGATTGTTACATTTCGAAAATACAATTTTCATTATCATGCTGGTGAAGGTTTTACAACACATGAAATTGAACTTTGGAAATGACAGTAGTACGTATCAATGGTATAGTGGATACAATTTAAAATATTAACTTAAAAATTACTCTGAAAATTTCAGCGTCCGGACGAATCCTGTAGTTTGGAGGTTTATAACTGGAGACTCGCTCTTGATAATGAGAGCCTCAGCTAACACCAGTCTCGAAGGGTCAGTGCACCGCATAACTATGCTGGTGCAGGCCTCCAATGTCGCTCGGATGATGGTCTCATTGTGAATCTCCCGCATGTGGTTCTTAGGTCCTCCAGGTTGTAGGTGGCATGTGAGTCGTCGGCTTAAGGTCGTGCTAGTAACTAAAAACCTTGTAATGTCTAATAAATTAATAATATAGAGCATTATTGAAGAAATGACTAATGTCTCATGTATGTAGCAAAGCTTTCTTTTCTACAGTTTTGTCTTGCCACCAACGCAATTGGGCACCTTTTATTTTTCTCGTATTTTTCCAATTTAATATATACATTGAAATCATTAGAGAATATGAATTCGGGCGACAAACTAATTTGATTTTTGGGCAAAAATGCGAACATTCAACTAACCTGGTTTCTTAAAGTATTTGAGAAGTGCCCATTACTACTGGCCCATGCACAACTGAAGCGATGAATGTTATGAAGATAATTCAGTCGTGATAAAAACTTGAACAACAAATAATATAAAACGAAAAATTTGAAGTATTTTGAAGATGTCTACATAATTTCTACAGATCAATCTACGAGTTCAAACAGGGAATCTCCACCATTAGGTTTGTTGCGGTAAAACATTCATTTTTCCAGAAAAAAATGATTATTTCAACCTTATTTCATCATCAATTTTTGGAATTTGTCCGTTTACCTAATTCATCAGTGATACAATGACTGAACTTGCTTAATTGCTATTTAGGCCATCCTACTCTAGAAAGTTTACGTTCACTAGCCATGAATTTCTTCACAGTGAAATTTTAGTTTAGAGCGGTGAAACATTATATTTAGCAGGAGGAACAACTTTATTTGGGGCGAACAAATAATCTATTCAACTTTATTTGATGGTGTTGATTTCAACTGCGAAGAAAGGAAGAAGTCTCGCCTTGTTAGTGATATCAGTCGAATTTCAAACTTTTTCCCCAACAATATGTTAGAAAAATTCCCTACTAACCACTACATTCGTTAAGTAATTTTATGTTCCTCCGAGAATGTCAAAATTTTCATAGTTATTTGCTTTAATAACCTGAAAGTTCTTAAAGCTTTTAAATTATATAAGTTCTATACTCAGCTACGCATTCATACCGATACAAACAAATGTACAGATTCTTCTAGCATTTATCTTGTATATAACTAAAACTAGTTTAGCTCATTTCTGACCCTGACTTCGTAGTCGTATTCCCGCGTATCTCGTCCATTCTTCTGGTTTCATAAAACATATTGCTCCACAAAATAATTTTGCAGAAATTTATACGATACCTTGCATATGTTTTAGTTTTTGGTATCTCCTTTCTTTATATGACTGTTTAATTGTGCTTTTTCTTTTGGCTGCTACGTTTTCTCTTGATGAACCAGAGGCTCTTTACATACGATTCGCCCGGCCCTTTTTCAGCTATTTATATGCATTAATGATGATAGGTTAAAAATTACACAATACAAGCGAATTTGTCTGTATGGAAGCAACATATTGAACGTGTGTGCTTACTTGATAAAAAATAAAGATGTATTAATATATGCCAAAAAGAAATTCAATGAAATGAATAATCATTTTCCTAAAAAATGTTTTGAAGTCATCTTTTGCACAATACTAATGTTAGCTGATCTATATTGCACAAGTCCCTAATATATTTGGCTCTTAAAATTTCATTGAAAAAACGGAAGAATGCAGCTGATAATTTATCGGACAATGCTGAATACTTCCAATGATTTATCCCATTACAGTAACTGCCAATGAAACATAAGATCCGAATTTAATCGGTTTTGCTCTGAGATCCTTTCGAGATTCGAGGTGCAATCAGAATCAATGACCACCATTAGCTGCATCGGCAGCTAAATGAGTTTATTTTTAACTAAAAAACCTTCTAAATTCGTAGATGGAAAGTTCAAGTGAAAATATAATCAAGTAACTTGAAGCTGATAACAATACAGTGATGAAAGTTTAATAATTTCACTGTATAGAAGCAGGTGTAGTGGTATGTAGGAGTATGTTTATTTGTGTTGCATGTTGGTCGTTGTCCAATGTGCGTCAGCAAAACAGTATCACCGGATGAGAGCTGGAGAACCTGGACCAGACGCCTCAACCTGCAAGGAAGCATATGGGTTAGTCATAAATTATTATAAATTAAAAGCATGAAAATATCTTAACCTTTAGAAGAAGTCATCAATGTGCACTTGAATTTCCCCTACTCGTAATTTGAGTGACTTTAAATCGTTAGAAAGTTTCATGAGTTTTATTGTGAATCGAGTGTAATGTCGTTTTTTTCCTTGAAATTAGACTCGAATCATGATTCCTTTCATCCCAAATGAAGTTTAGAGCCGCTCTAATTCAGATGAAATGAATCGTCACCTGAAACGTCTCTAAATTTAGTTGGTATTCCACACCAGTCAACCCACCTAAAACATGCGTTGTCGAAGGGTTGATTTTTAATGCACGTCGACCTTTATTACTCGAATAGATTTTCCATTTAATTTGTTTGCCTACAGTACTCAAGAGTTTGAAAATTTCTATCAAAACTTACACCGAGAAATTTTTTAAGATACATAAGTAGTTCTCATTGTACTCAATGTTTATTAGTTACCTCAAAAGAAGATTCTCCTCATGAAAAGGAAAAATTTTTCAAGCTTATATTTACAAGCATTTCATGATACGAATTAGAATGCCTATAGCTTGTTTCTTATATAAACGCATCGGGATCTAGATTTTTTATTCAATACCAGAAAATAATATCATATTAAATTATACTTGCTCAAAAAATTTTCTCGCAAAGTGATGTGATATCTTATTTCTTATCTTATCTTATTCTCACAAATTATTTATAAATCTGTTAGTTCCGTTTTTCCAGAACAATCTTGGCTCTGTAAGTACTCGTACAGTCTCCATACTACCATAAACAGAAACAATGCGAACTTGTACTGAAATTAACGTGAATAATCCCATGTTCCTCCACGGTAAAGAGATTCAGTACTGACCCAGAAGAAATTTGTTGCCATATCGCCATGAACTGAAACTCACTTTCAGGACAGTTTTCCTCGACACTCATATCGTTACAGTCGTTATCGCCGTCGCAGACGAAGCTAGCTTTGATACAGTTGCCATTCTTGCACTCAAACCGAGTTATCATGCAGGCACTGCCAGCTGAAGTAAACACAGAACTCATATATACGTGTACGCGTGCACTGATTTTTTGATGAATTATTTCACGACAATTTTCATATCAAACTCCGAAACAATTCAGTTCACAACTATCGAAACCTCGAATTGATACGTTTTATATTCTTAATTCACAGTAAAAGTGAGTGTGTACAAAGTTTTTAAATAATTTGAGTAGTAATTTGCACTAAAAGTTGTCGATCGAAAAATTTGAGTACAAACGTGCACCCTCACAACGAGGCAGTAAGCTTCAAAACATGCCACAAGTACATAATCCGAATTTCGAAATGAATTATTCAAACATTGGTTAATGAAAAATAAAAAACTTGAATAAAATTTCCGTAATATTTAGTATAATTATTTTTCTAGCCAGAAACGGGCCATGATAAATATTGCAGTGATAGAAAGAATGTGTATGCACATAATTTACTTGAAATTTTAAGAAGTAAAAAGTAAATAAAAAAATTATGGTTCTGGTGGCATCTATCGTATTTAGAAATAGGTGGAGACTAGAGGGTGGCTTGTGCAAAGTCTAAAAAGGTGTAGAAGATTTCCGGAACCTAAAAGAGATGAACAAGTAATCAGGGCTAGTATGAGTTTGGGTGAGGATTGAAGAAAATGTAAAATATCTACAGTCCAATCTGAAACTACAATATCCTAAGAACATCGATTGAAATAAACACGCTTTCTTCAAAATTATTCACTTGATTTCAGGGTTTGGAATTAATATACGGAGGAAGTTTACGAGGACGAGAAAAAATCCTAAAAACCCGCAAAGCAAGACTCACGAAGGGTGCAGTCAAGTTCATCGCTGCCATCGTGGCAGTCGTCGTCGCCATCACACCTGCAGCGCGCGTTGATGCAGCGATGGTTGGCGCACTTGAACCTGTCTTCGCCGCACTGGACTGAGTAAAGGATGGCACCGTCGCAGAGCTGGGCAGCGCTACTTTGAAATGTGGCGCCGCTACCGCTACCGCTACATGCTCTAAATGTAGCGGGCGCTACCGCTACCGCTACATGCTCTAAATGTAGCGGGCGCTACCGCTACCGCTACATCTGTCTCTTATACACATCTAGATGTGTATAAGAGACAGACCTCGAATTGATACGTTTTATATTCTTAATTCACAG